ATCACATACTATGTTATATTATATAATAATACAACATATAAATTATAATATTAAATAATATTTAATAAAATATATTATTATATAATATATTATATTAGTTGTAGTTAATATTTTATTGTAGCAATTATATTATAGTGTATTATATTAAACCAATATAATAATATAGCATAATATAATATAACATATTAAAATTAATAAATATGTTAGTATAAAATATAATATAACATAAATCATGTTATGTGATTATATTATATTATATTATATTAATAAATATATTATTGTACTATAATATAATACATTTTTTATATTTTTTATATATCATAGTAATTATCATATAATATTATACTATATTTTAATTACAATATAGTATTTTAAATAATATTATATTGAATAAAAAAATATTATAATATTTTATGCGGTAAACTTTAACCTATGACTCTGTTCTGATATATTAAATTAGATATTATATTATATTGTTTGTATATTATATCAGTTATTATATATATAACACACTATTATAGTATAATATAATAATTACTAATATTAATAAATTATTATGATATAATACAATATAATACTATAGTTTGAAATTATATAATATATTATACTATAACATGATACCTTTTAATATATATTATTGTAATTATCATATAATATAAATAAATATTATATTTTAATTATAATAAAATATTTTTAAAAATATTATATTGAATAAAGTAAAATATTATAATATTTTATACAGTACATTATATCCTATGATACTATATTATAATATATTAAATTAAATAATATATTATTAAAGTATTATATTAAATATATTGTTCATATATTATATCAATTATTATATAATGTAGCATACTAATATAATGTAATATAATAGCATAACATATTATATTTTAATATAAAGTAAAATAATATTTATATTATAATAATATACTAAATAATATATTGAACCAATTGGATAAGTTAATTTAGAAGTAATTGATAGATAAAATTATATTTTAATAAGGTGTCACATCGCCAATTATCCCACATGAATTGTCAAATCAAATGTTCAAATTGTCCCATTATCCCATTTATTCCATTTTACCCCACTCAAAATATCTCAAAGGGATAAAATTGTTCCATAACAATTATCCCATTTGGCCCCAACTTGTCCCAACCAATCAACCCCCTAAAAAACTGAAACCTTGAAAGAGTTCAGAAATATGCTAGATGCCATATATTTGAAGTCAATATGTAGAAACTGAAAAGAAAAACACATGCATGAAAATTTTAAAAATATGATGTGTGTGACAAATTAGATTGCTAAACATTTGAAGTGAATATGTGAAAACGGAGAAGGTAAATATAGACAGAATATTTGAAAAACAGTGATATGTGTGAATCAACAATTTGACTGGTCTCCCCAGACAGTAGGTAAGTACATATGCTCCTATTAAGTGGCATCAATGAGAGCTAACCCTGCTTATAGAGTCAAAAATGTAGCAGTCTTCAACAGCACACACACACACACTCTCTCTCTCTAAACTAACCTGCTTCCTGCTCAAAAATCTCCCTTTCTTCATGGTAAACATCTGTAAAACAGCCAAATCATAATCGATGAATATATTGTAGGAGACAAGGACGGGGAAACAAAGAAATATAAAAGTCTAAAACACAATACACAAAAGAAGTGTAAGGAAGCTCATCATAAACAAATATACAACAATAGTGGAATATATGAGAGGAGGTACAAATATTAAGCATGCTGCATGCGTGCTTCTGCATGAGAATGCTGACATGTGAGAAATTGGAATTAGCATGTATAAAAATGTATAAAATGTATGCCTAAATGCAAACAAGAAAACTCGTGCACACTCATGCCATGCACACTCATGCACACTAGTGCCATGCACAACTATATGAAGAAAAATATTTTTAAAAGTTACAGCCTCTAAGATATGTTTATTTCTTCAAAATAAAAGATTTTTCTTCTAATAAAAGGTAATTTGCAATATATCTAAAATGTAAACTTTATTTAATGCAATTGTTAGCTAGAATTACTTGACCCCGCGATTACATATATTGCCATAAAATTGGTTATGAGATTAGCAGAAGGATCCATAAAGTTAGATTAGGCTTTACTTAGTTCAATCCCCCAACTCAAAATTGAAAATGTTGAAACAAATTCTATTTGAGAAATAATAAACTCAGTAAGAGATTTTTCAGAAAACACTTTGGGACACTAAAAGAATTCTACTGTATAAATACAAACAGTATTTACATTTGCTTTCTACTTAGAATCCTTCAATGGATCTTTAATTTCCAAATAACAATATAATTGTCTCTTTAGAAATAACAATAATTATTCAACATAGTCGATTATGAAATGATGAGATGGCACTATGCAATGATTAATGAGATATTTGAATGTTTCAAATAACTAACAAATTCAATTAAGGAGGTGCCTTCCCTCACTGTAAATCGCTCGTCACTTACTAATTCAATAAGGAGGTGCCTCCAAAAATAGCTTAAATTCATTAATTAATATCTAATCAAATGACTGGCTTTAACAGCACTAATCAAACAAGGATTGTAAACTATAATTGTGAGTTTCCATTTTGAATGAGACAACCAAGAACGATGACAAAGTGGCATGGTTTATCTTGTTCAATTTCCATAGAACTTCTCTCATTATAAGTATCATGGTGTTTTCTAGTTCTGCTGAAATAATCTCATAAGCAATGCTTCCAAGAATCTTAATCTCCTATCCTATCAAATTAGAATATTTAGGTTCGGCAACAAAAATAAAATAACTATTCAACACAGTCAATAACAATTAACTAATTACATTTTTAAAAGCTATTCACTAAAATAATATAACTCCATTAATCACTTTCTAATTAAGAATAAAATATTATTGACTGTAATTGAACTCAAATGAACGAGAAACTCTAAGATGGTGTGGTGGCACAATGTGGCTTGAGAGAAGCCTAAAAAGTCTTCTCAGTTGATCAGAAGTCACAAAAAATGGGGGTTCAACTTTGCCCCACATTATATGATGTGCATAGGATTATGCATCCATGTGTTTAGGCACACATCTGATATTTTGCAAATACACAGATATTTGAAGAGAACATGATTGCTCAGGGCTAAAGCATATTATGAACTGGAACAATATTATGGCTCCAAAAGTTGGTGTAGTACAAAGACAGAAAACAACTATCAGCATAACACTTAACTGTATTCGCCATTCTCCATGAGTTTCATGGCATCCTCAGTAAGTTGATCAAACATGAGCTTTGTTCCTTCAGACATCTTTCCTCTCTTGTCACTGGAAGTTCCTTTTAACCTTTTCAAAGCTTGTATTATCTGCAAACATAGGAACATAACCAATTTTAAGCAACCAAATTGATGCCCCATGAAATAAACGAGTCGCAGAGGACTATCGTAATATTAAAGATTGTGAATACCCAAGTCAAAAAAAACATAGAGATAACTGGTAATAAAGATATATGCATGCCAAGCACTCATACATTAGTCACTAAGGCCGATATCTGAAATTCACTAGTAGCACCATCTTGCCTACAAATTCCATCCACCTAAAATTATGTTTCATAATTTGAATGATTTTGGCATATATATGAGCTGTCAAGAAAACAACAGGCCCTTTCAGAACTTTATGGTCTGATATCATGTTCTAGTGTAGGTTATCTTGTTCACGGAGAAAACCACCAACTCAAACAGATCAGAATGTAACTTATATGCACCAGATATTGCTCAAACATGAGTGCTACAACTTTCCAAAATTAGGATATAACACAATAGGGGTATAACATGGTCCAAAGAAAAATATTTAAATAATTCTCCTAAAGATAAAATGTTGGTCTGTCCGCCATCACCAGTCCACTAATGAGTCAATGGTCGTTCTTCATTATGCGAAGCTCGATAAACAACTTGAGGACAGCAGGGCAAGATCCCTTATGAAACCCATCAAAATTGACCAAGTGACTAAAACTTTCTTTTTTTCCATTGTTGTGTATATGGATATAGACCTTGGCATAAAGAAACCTCCTGAAGAAAGAACTATTGATAAGGCATAACCAGAAAAAAAAACAGTGAAACGAATATCATGATAAAGAATTGAAGAATTGAAGAATTGAAGTACTGAAAATGAGTACTGGAAGAAAAGCTGTATGATCAAATTAGTCCACATGCTCCTGGCACGCCTATCCAGCTAGGACCAGTTTATCAAGCAATATAATCATAAATAAGCCACATTCATCATAACCATCAAGCTTCCCAAGTTTGCAGACTGGCAAGCCTAATATAACATGCAGTGGGGAGAAAATAGTACAGACTCCACAACACAAGTACAAGTAGTTAATGCCTGTTTCAAGAAAGAAAATAAACGACTTATTCATAAACACTAGCTAGATTTGCATTAGGAAGCACATTCCAGCCAAGTGTTGAGTGTTACCGTTTCTCCTGGCTGAAGTACATTAGCTATGCTCCTCTTTATCTTCCCTATGTCCTCTGATGAAAGATCTTGATATTCCTCATTTTGTATAGTCGTCTTAGGAATCTTCTCAGCATAAGTTGAATCAACAACTACGTTGTCGAGCCAGGCATCCTAAATCAAATATCAAATAGAACCTTCTCACTTTGTGAGCAAATCATTAAAATGAAAACTGAGAAGATTATTAAGATTAAAGGGAAATCATACACCACCTTGATCTGATTTTGACCAACATATTCAACATAATTTCCACTTGCGTCAAAATACCCTTCTTCTCTTTCTTGTTTCAAATTAAATGGCTCTATTTCAATGCCATCATCCTCAAATTTAGTATTTTCCTGCAAAAAACAATAAGTTGCTTTGAGTTTCTTTGGGCTTGAACTTTCTGATGATGGTGAATTTTCCAAATTGCCTGGAAGTAATCAAAAACATAATCCCCTAAAAGGAGAGTACTGTGCCACCGATATGCTACAAGTGTGAAACCACATCAAACAAAATTATAAGGAAGAAACTGAAACATGAATGATAAGGCACGTAACATGTATCCTTACAGGCCTAGCAGCATAACTGTTGCAAAAGTTCAAATTTCCAAAAATTTCTCCACATATTCCGTTCATTTTAAGCCCAATTGTATGTTATTAGGCTTTCCGATTACTTCTTATAACGAATGGGTATTCAAATAAACAATTTTTTTATATCAGAGAAAGCTTCTGAAAAATCAAATCTAGAGGTCCTTGTCGAACTTCAATAGATCTCATTTAACATTAAATATTCAAACAATACAAAGTTCCTTGACCAATCATTGTCATATTAAACAATTCATTGGCATGGAAAAACAAAACAATCAACTATATGAAACAGTCCTTATGTATTGTGTACTATTCACGGTGTTTTATACTTCTTACCAAATATAATGATGCTTATTCTCCTCAAAATCACTACATTTAAATCAAATACTTACAAAGAAGGTAAATCAACAGAATGTGGATGAGCCTTCCCTTAAGAAAGTTCTCCTAAAGATGGAAGATCAGCATATCATATCCTGAAGGATGC